AAAAAGTTGGGACAAGTCCACTTTTACCACTGTGTGGCATCCCCCCTTCTTCTTACAACACTCAACAGACGTCTGGGGACAGAGGAGACCAGTTTCTCAAGTTTAGAAATAGGAATGCTCTCCCATTCATGTCTAATACAGGCCTCTAACTGTTCAATCGTCTTGGGCCTTCTTTGTCGCACCTTCCTCTTTATGATGCGCCAAATGTTCTCTATAGGTGAAAGATCTGGACTGCAGTCTGGCCATTTCAGTACCCGGATCCTTCTCCTACGTAGCCATGATGTTGTGATTGCTGCAGAATGTGGTCTGGCATTATCGTGTTGAAAAAGGCAGGGTCTTCCCTGAAAGAGATGACGTCTAGATGGGAGCACATGTTGTTCTAGAACCTGAACATAGTTCTCTGCATTAATGGTGCCTTTCCAGACATGCAAGCTGCCCATGCCACAAGCGCTCATGCAACCCCATACCATCAGTGATGCAGGCTTCTGAACGGAGCGTTGATAACAGCTTGGGCTATCCTTGTCCTCTCTGGTTCGGATGACATGGCGTCCCAGTGTTCCATAAAGAACTTCAAATCGTGACTCATCTGACCACAGAACAGTCTTCCATTTTGCCACACTCCATTTTAAATGACCCCTGGCCCAGTGCAAACGTCTGAGCTTGTGGAGCTTGCTTAGAAATGGTTTCCTCTTTGCACTGTAGAGTTTCAGCTGGCAACGGCAGGTGGCACGGTGGATTGTGTTCACTGACAATGCTTTCTGGAAGTATTCCTGAGCCCATTCTGTTATTTCCTTGACAGTGGCATTCCTGTTTGAGGTGCAGTGACGTTTAAGGGCCCGGAGATCACGAGCATCCAGTAGAGTTTTACGGCCTTGACCCTTATGCACAGCTATTGTTCCAGATTCTCTGAATCTTTTGATGATGTTATGCACATTTGATGATAATTTAAAAGTCTTTGCTATTTTACGCTGGGTAACACCATTCTGGTATTGCTGCACTATCTTTCTGTGCAACAATGGTGGAATTGGTGATCCTCTTACCATCTTGGCTTCTGAGAGACACTGACACTCTGAGAAGCTCTTTTTATACCCAATCATGTTGTCAATTGACCTAATTAGTGTTAGTTGGTCTTCCAGCTATTTGTTATATGCTCAATTTCCTTTTGCCAGCTACTTATTGCTACTTGTCCCAACTTTTTTGGGATTTGTTGACACTGTGAAATTTTGAATGAACATATTTTTCCTTTAAAATGTTACATTTACTCAAATTCAACTTTTGATCTGTCATCTATGTTATATTACGAATAAAATATCGACATTTGCCATCTCCACATCATTGCATTCAGTTTTTATTCACAATTTGTTTAGTGTCCCAACTTTTTTGGAATCCGGTTTGTAGACCTCCACCCTACAAACTACTGAGGGATTGTGGGGACAGCAGTGGCTGAGTGGTTAGAGCAGTCGTCTTCCAATGGGAGAGTAGGGGGTTCAATTCCACCAGCAGTCACATGTTGAAGTGTCCCTGGGCAAGACACTGAACCCCTCATAGCCTCTGATGTGTGTCCCATCAGTGTATGAATGTGATAAAGCTCTGATTAGACTCTACAGATTCAGATCATCTTTGTAGAGATGTAGTAGAGTGCTGTATGAATGGAGAGCACAGATTGCACTGTAAAGAGCTTAGAGTATCATGATTAGATGGAACAGCACTATACAAGTACATTTACCATTATCTCAACAAAGGATGGGACTAAAGCCAACCAACGTGCAGAGAAAACCAGAGAGCTTTTCTACAAGGATACCTGAATACGACAGGAAAACTAGGCTGAAGTAGTTTACGCTGATTCAAAGTACAAAGTTTTGATCTATAAGTTGCAATAATGACTTTGTTCAGAGACATTTGTTCAGATTATCAAGTTTCAGCTGCTCATGTTTGTAGGGGTGGCCACAGTAAGTGACCTCACATGAAAGATTTGGGATGTTTTATGCCAGATACCCTTCCTGACACAACCTGGACTCTAAGGATTACAACAAGGCTGCTGCACTTCACCACTGCAGCCCCTGCACACATGATCAGATCACTTAATATCCATTTCCCTGCAAGACGAACTTGTGACTTGCAGAACACTAATCTATACAACTGTTAATGATGATAGTAGACAAAAACACAACTAACAACACCAACAATAATAATATCTGTGAGGACTGAACTTGGCAAAAGGGTCTTCTCCTACTCTGCTCCTGTTTCCTGGAATATCTTTCAAAAAGATCTGAAGCTCTTGACCTTGACCTCTCTAAGTGGCTTCAAACATCTGTTAAGTTCCTGGCAACAACCACTGCAGACATGTTCCTGTTTTTAGTTTTCTACAGCGCCTTACAAACTAGATGTTTTTTGTTACTTTTCCTTTTAAAATCTGCCGTCATGGATCGGTCCCATTGTCACGATACCTGATCCACAAGTTTTTCCGATAACGGTACAGATACAGATATTGGTATTGGATCGGTACATCTCTACAATCCATGTAGAAAAACAATGTTCAGTCAGGTCATCTGGACGGTTTCTGTTTTTTTTTTTTATCTGAGACGTTTCGTCCTTCATCCAAATTTCAATCTGAGGAAATGTCTCAGCAAAAAAATAAATAAATAAATAAACCTTAGATGACCTGACTGAACAATATTGATTGATTTTTACCTGGATTACTGAGCATGGACTTTGGTGTTTTGAACCACTTTGGCATGAATGCCTGAGGAGTTGACGGGGAGAGGGCGGGTCGCAGAGACCATCTTATCACCAGTAAACTTTTCTTTTTTCCCCACTGTGGGAGTGAGCTGTTTGTGGGACTCAGTTTGTTGGTGGCTCCTCAGACTGAAGAAGTCATTTGGATGAAAGACGAAGCATCCCAGCAACAAACAGAAACCGTCCAGATGACACGACTGAACATTGTTGGACAATCCTCCCACCCCTCCTAAAGCTTTAGGAGGCAAAGGACTTCCAAAAGAGAAATAATTTTAAAGTTGTTGTTTTTTTTTTACAGAACTCTGCAAAATTTTAAAAGATAAACTGAACTGTGTTTTCCACTGTGCACCTGGAGAACCACACACGCACGCACGCACGCACGCACGCACGCACGCACGCACGCACACACACACACACACACACACACACACAGTAGTGAATACTGTAAATAACATTCACAGTATAAAGATCAATTCTCTCCATATTCTGTCCACATGATAACTCTGTGCTTGTACTTATTTTACCTAAGCTCTGTTGTTTGTTGGAAACACAACTATGTTTAAAAGACATTTAAATCTGGAAAACTAGATTCTGGTGCTAACTGCTCAAACACAAACTAGACCAGCAAATCATTTTATTGTCATATCAAAACTGAGTTAAAGACGCTGGCAGAGACAAACTATTATGAACAAAGCTTCAGTATTTCACGTAACTCTGTCAAATCTGCTAGGGATTTGTAGCTCAATACAGCTAGCTAGCTAGACTTAAAAATGACAGCAGCCTTTAAAATACAATTATAACAAAATATTTCCACTAATTTGAACTGTGAAGCCTACTCACTCATGTAAACCCCAAAGATAAACAAAGCGCTGCGGACGGTTCGTAGAGAAGATCCAACGGATCGTTAACGGAAGCAGAGCTAAGCTAACTAGCTCCTGTTAGCTCTGACTGGACTCACCTTCCAGGGTCTCGCACTGAACCAGGTTTAAATAATCCGCCTGGGACAATATTCCAGCTTTGAACCCTCTAACCAGACCCTCCAGATAGCCGTTATCCACGTTAAAATACAGCTCGGAGAAAGGCATCCTGTCCGGCCGACTGATACGCAGACGAAGCAGGGAAACGTCCGGTAAGCGTCAGCTGACTCCAACAACGTGACTGTCATCTGATCCGTCATCTGGTTGGTTGCGAGCGCACATGCGCGCTTTGCAGACGCTGCATGCGCAAAGAACGCAACAGAGCCCGGCATCAGGGTTGCCAGATAAATTGAAAATGTCTTTATTACCCCTCTGCGCACATGTTCAAGAAGCACAACACACACCTCATCTTGGAATATTATTACTCAGCACATATGACAGTTTAGGTCAAAATACGATCATTTTAAAGCGACAGTACTATAGGTCATAGTTTCTTATCTGGCAACCCGACTGATAAGGGAACTACAGTGTTTTTCGTGTAAGCCCACTCATTTTTTGTTTATTACCCCAATTAACATTGAAAAAACACTGACATTTCCAGAGGTTGTTATCGTGTAAACAGGGCCTTATAGTAGGAAGATCACTTTGACTTGATCATTTTACATGCTGAAAAAGTGTGGGCACCCCATTGTGTGGATGTGACTGCCAGAAAGTATGTATTATATCAGGCTTTCTTATAACCGATGGGAATGTCAACTTTTTTATTTCGGGTACTGAATTCCTAGAATCAGTTCATTAAGATGTTTCGCTCAAAAGATTTGTTTGCCAAATCTTTCAGTTCATGCAGTTTATTCGTGCAGTAGCAGTGAGTGACTCAGTGCCACTTCCAGCACAGTACTATGCAAACAAATCATTCAACAGCAGTTTTCTGTGTGCACATGCGCAAATCAGCAGTTCTTTTTTGATGTGAGGTGTGTGCTCATAGATGGCAACATGGACATATCGCTCAGTGAGGGAATCGTAAGTCGACGTGGACGCCTTTTTGAATGTGGCAAAAGTGAAGCGATTCCTCATTGATTCATGGCGGTGCACAGAAGTGAAGCGGCTTCTCATACTCCCAGGATTAAGCCTTATTTTAATTATTTTAATTCCTATGAGGTTGTCAGATTCATAAATCTCTAACCAGGATATTCACTGTGAAAAATCACATCATGTTGCTGCTGATCTGTTTCATGTTGCTGCTGATCTGTTACATGTTGATGTGTTCATTCGTGCTCATCTGCTCACACAGACTCATGTTAGTGCTGCTGTTTGACGTAATGTTTTTATGCTATTAGTGATTAGTGTCTTTTTAGTTGAGGTTTTTCTTAGTTCATATCTTAGATGAGATCATTGTTTTTCTTTTACATTTTATTGATGGATGTAACTGGGACCCTGTGTACATAATTTCATCCCACCACATGTACCACATGAGGTGCGAACGACAATAAAGAATCTCTGACTCTTATCATATATAAACACACACACTCACACACACGTGTATATATATATAATGAGTTTTCTGTTTTCTGTTATATATATAAATATACATATATATATATATA